AAAAATGCCTTAAAATAAATTTATTCTTTTATATTTATTCTAACGTTTTTTTTGCAATTTTTTTTAAATATATGTTAAAATGTGATGTCATTAAATTTTCATTTTGCGTAATTTAGACGACAAATTATACATCGCATCTTCTCTCTCTTCTCGCTTTAAAATCTCTCTATTCAAAATATATATTATATATATATATATATATATATATATATTGAACAATAAAAGGAAAATAAAAAATTAAAATCTTTAACACACTGGTTATAGATTAATATTCTTTTTTTTTTATTATTATTCCATTTAGATTCCTCGACTAGTTTCGGACCAAAATGGCCATCATCAAGAGGAGAAATATTTCTGCTTGCTGGTAGCAGTAAACTACAGAAATGAATGTCTTGATGGAGAAAAAATGAACTTTTTGTCTGTAGTTTTCATTTGTTTTTATTTTTTTTTATTTCTTTTTTAATGATATGAATTTTTAACATTCCTTGTGTTGGTCAAACAGTCTCTTTTAAAATGTTATTTGAGATAAGAGCTGGATAGATACATATTATTCTGAATTCTCTGGTCAGTTTGACCGTTTTATTGGACCTGGTGAGGGGGTGTGTCTCTGTTTAGTGTTTGTGTGTGTGTTATTTATATATATATATATATATATATATACAGATAACTGAAAATGTGACACTGAAATACGAAGGTGTATTTGAATAGCGAAAGATGCCTTCTAAAAGTCAAACAAAGTACAAAGAAGCAGGAAAATTTCATTAGAAACAAAGAACAAAGTGCTAGACTGCAATATGCAACATCTGTCCTCTTATATGCCAGTGAATACTGGACAGTTTACTTAGAAATGAAGGGGAGATTTAAAACAAAATAGATTTGGCCATATCACATTGAAACAACGATTCTCGTAAATAAGAACAATACCATGGACGGTGTATGTGAGTAACGAGAAAGTTTTAAGAAAATAGAAGCAAAATGAACGTCTGTTGAAGCTTTTCAGACACATAATGAGGAAAGAAGGCTTGGAAAATTTAATACTCTCGGAATTTATTGAAGGCAAGAGAGACAGACGAAAACAGCGAGTAACCTATCTATGGAAGAGTGGATAGTAAAAATATAAACAGTTGTGGATAGCCATGAATGGAGACTGCAAATAGTAAAAACTGATCATTTTGTTAGAAAATTAGACATATCATTCTGACTTTGGAGAATGTAATCTTTTGAATTCATTTTGTGTCTTTTTTTTGACCTGTCTATTTTATCATAATTTGTTAAAAAATATTTTAAAATGTCAAATAAGAAATGATCATATAATTTTACCTCTGGCCTTTTACAGTAATAATGAAAAGTCCTTCATTCCAAAATTTAGAGCCACAGTCTTACAATAAAAAATTATTTCCATCAAATGAAAGCGGTTTTTAAATATATCATAAATCACGTTTCCTGTACGATCACCGACGTTAAGCGACGTTGAGCCTGATAAGTACATAGATGGGTAACGACTTTGGAATACAACATTCTGTAAGCTTTTATGAGCAGGTGGTTTAATGGGTAACGGCTCAGAGTAGGAAATCAGAGAACCGAGTTCCAATTCTGATTTTTTCGTTATATTCATTTACGTGCAAATAATGTTAATTTGAAGGGGTATGAATCAAATATTTCTTCTCCCCCAAGTTATGGGTTAATTAATAGAACTCGTATCAATACAAAATTCATTTTATTATATTTTCTTAAAAACATTTCTGACAATCTAAAAAATATATTTCTCGGCTTTAAATAAGCTGCAAAAGGTTGATAAGCCGTAAAAACAGATCAATAAATTAATCTCTTCAAAGTGATACGAAAGGAAAAACTGCTGATAGAGAAGAAAATAGATTTGGTAATGCACATCCGCCCCCTCTTTTTTTTCCTAACTATTTCTATCATCCCCCCCTACATACACGTGCGCGCGCAAAGATCTCAAACCAAGATAATACCGGTTCATCATCACAGTGTAGACCCCAAGTTTCTTCCCGTCATGATGGGGCATTTATTAGGACGCAAAATCAAATTTGACGTCAAACATGACTCATATATAGGACGCTGTAAAAATGGCCAGTTCTGTCTTTAGAGTTCTATTCTTCATTTCCTGTTTAGAGTCGGGTTTCCGATTCCTTCTAAAGCCTACTTCAAGTCTATATTCCTAACGCGCGTCCTTTCTTACGCGAATACAACCTTATACAGTAACCCTCTACCTTGAATGGCTCTTGGGCCTTGTGTTGAAGCAACATTAGTAAAAAGAAAAAGATATTCGGACGAACTATATTCCCTAATTCCAACAGTTCAGATCTTAACAGCTAGGACCTGCCAGGCCATGCACACTCAATCGATTCATCCCCATTCCAGGCTTACGGCCATATCTCGTTGAAACACCGGTTCACGTACGATCACTGAAGTTAAGCAACGTCGATCCTAGTCAGTAATTAGATGGGTGACAGCTTGGGAATACCAGGTGCTGTAT